TCTATGAGTATACGTTAGGATTGTTACTTAATGTCCCCAAGCAGAGGAAGCCACACCTCCCCAGTGCTCAGAGTACTCCCTAAGTCAGAGCATTCTCCAGAGATGCCTGTCTTTCTTCATCATTTACAGGTCTGCCCCCCTCATCAGACCATGAGGTTCTCATATGGCAGTGGCTCTGTCTTACACATGTCTGTGACTCCATCACCAAATGCCAGGGATGACTGTCCATCCCCACTTCCTGCAACGCTCAGGGGTTGGCCTGGCCCCACAGAAGGTACTATATGCCATTCTGGGAACCACAGGAGGGCTGGGGTAGATACCAGCAGGGCTGCTCCCCAAATTGAGCATGACCATGATAGGGGCCCCAGGCTCCCAAACAAGGCCTGAGATCAGATGTGCGAGAGCTGCGGTCTGGCAGCCTTCTGCTCTGCCTTCCCCTTCATCTGACAGGAGCCTGACAGGTCATTAATCAGGCAGTCCCTGGGAAATCAATTAAGTATCTGATGCTGCAGAGTGTGAAAGAAATGGATCAGGGTTAGGGGACCCTGAACACATGGATCTCACCAGACTGGTCCACAGATGCACGTGTGGGGCTTAGAGCAATGTCTTACCCCAGCTCTTTGGAGCATCGTAGGCCCAGTCTCCTCCCTGCAGACTCAGAGGCCCAGAGGAGAAAGGAGAGGGTTAACCAAGTCCTTGCCCTCCTTCTTCCTTCTGTTAGCTTTTCTTCTCTGCCAGAATGAAATCTAAATTCCTCCTGGTCATTCTACCAGTTGTTATGGTTTTGCTCAGCTATTTATTTTTGACTCTCAACACAGACTTAGTCTGACAATTAGGGGACGGCCTGGGACTATTTCTCTGGTATCAGGAGGCTCCCTACTCTGGTGGGATTTGGCAAAAGCTGTTTAGGACAACTACATCAAAGAGGCCCTGCTCTCTTGGGCTTCTAGGCCTTTGCTCAGGCTGCGCCTCCCTCAGGCCCTCCCTCCCCGGCTCGGCGTGGGAACACCTGCTTGCTCTTCAACTCTCAGTCACTGAAGTCCACCAGGAAGTCCTCCCTTTCCTCACTCAAGTCTCAGCTGAGAATATATGTTCACTCATTTAACCTGTTAATATTGATCAAGCATGCACCATTTTGCAAGCCCTGCGTCGTGTACTAAGGATCCTGAGGCAATTAAAACACACTCTCTCTGCTTAACCTCTATCACAACACTCATCCCACTGAAAATCTGTTCTCTTAAGTGTCTTACCTGCTAGGCACGCAGTAGGCGTTCAGGGAATATTTACTGAACATAAGCACTACTGATGAAATTGAGCACTTACAGTGTTCTAAGACATTTTCAGACATTATCTTACGTAATTGCTACAATAGCCTTATGAGGCATTAAGGCGGATTACAAGTGGCCCAAAGTTCTAGTGCACTTCTCCTTGGGAGAAATGGGGTCTATTGTCCCTCCCCATGAGGCTGGGAGACCTAGGACTGCTTGAGCAACAGAATATGGTGGAAGGGACATTCTGCCAGTCCCAGGCCAAGCCTTTAAGTGAATCAACAGTGTTGCCTCAGTGCTGGGGGGTCCTGAGCCACGGAGTAGGAAGTACAGCTCCCTGCTGGGAAGACTGTGTGGAGAGGCCCTGAGACCGCACTAGAGGGAGGGGGCGCCCCACTGAGCCCGGCTTTCCAGCCATCCTCCCTAAGGTGTCAGGCATGGGAGCGAAGCCAGACTGGCCCCTTCAGACTAGCCCAGATGACCACTAAGTACCACCAATTGACCGCACCTGACACCATGTGGAGCAGAAGAATAGTTCAAGAGAGTTTTTCCTAAACTCCTGACTCAGACTGTGAAGCTGAATCAACTGGTGATTTTTTAAGCCACTAAGTTTTGGTGTAGTTTGTTCTGCAGCAATAGATGATCACAACAAGTTACTAATATTTGTTCCCTTTTAGAGGTGGAGAAATTTAAGCTCTAGGTCCACAGCTAGTAAGCACAGGTGGAGGTGGGGGAGAAGGATGTGAGCCAGGATGTGTCTGCCTCTAAAACTTGTGCTTTCACCGACTTGGTACAGTGAATGGCCATCGCTTAAGTCCTCAGAATAAGAGCCAAACTTACTTCTCCAAAGTAAAGAACAAGTACAACCTATTTCCTCTCATTTCCTCAGTGAGTAGGAGCTCAATAAATATTTTTTGAATGACTTTTTTCTTCACAGGTTGATGTGGGAAGCAGAAATACATGAGGAAAAAAAAAAAGGGAAATAGTTTTTATAGTGTGTCTTTTAATGCCAGGCACTGTTGCTGTGTGCTTCTCACACGATACTTCACTTACTTCCTCCCAGCCTGAGCAGCATTTAATTCTTATCCCAATTCACAGATGGGGAAATGAAAGTTCAGGGAGGTTAGGGAACTTGACCAGCTAGTTAAGGAACTTGACTGGCTAGTAAATGTTAAAGTCAAGATAGGAATCCCAGTCCATCTGAGTCTAAAGCCCACAGCCTTCCCACCTCACCAAGCTGGCCAACTTTACTTGTGCTGCTGCCAGACTTGACACTGCACTGTACCTCTTAAACTGTACTTTGTTAGTCTGTGCCATCAACCAGGATTAAGATCTAGAATTCTGATGGTGTTATCCACCACCATATTAGGCACCTCTCCCAGTGTGAGGTCATATTTAGATGCACAGAACTCTGGGGTAACAGAGAAAGCCTACCTCAAATATTTCATCTGGGTCTCTTCAGTAAGTGGGACTCTGTTAGACCAAGACGTGAGGAAGAGGGCGCTCTGGCAGAGAATTGTGTAAGAGCAGGTGCAAGGGCATGAGGCATGGAAGGTGTGATGCCAGGGAGGTGGGAGGAAGAGATGGGAGCTCCCCTACCCACTACCCCAAGAAGGAGCCTTCAATGTTGATTTTTTTATTGAAATACACTTTATCTTAAAAAAAGAGGGATTTGGGAGAAAGCTGATGAAGATATGTACACTCATATATACATACACATAAAAAATATTAAATATATACAAGATGTATGGATATATATACATAAAATAGTGTATATGAGTATATGCCAGTATGTTAACAATGGTTACCATTTAGTGGTAGATATGAATGATTTTATATCCTTGCTATTTCTGTTCCCTGTTCTACAGAACATTTATTACTTCAGTAATAAGTATGAGGAGAAAGAAAACAAAGTTCCATGTGGTTTGAGGAATGGTGTGAGAGGACAGAGGGTCAGAAAGGCAGCTGAGGGGCTGTCTGCTGAGGCAAGAGAGGTAAGCTCGGAAAATACCTCCGCTTCTCAAACTAACCATCAGGAAAATGTCCCTGCTACTCATCTGCCATCTTCCTTTCCTTTGAAAATCCTGGAAAACCACCTATTTTGATCTTAACTGAGGAGAATGAACATCCAAGCAGAGCAGTGACTACGGTGTTTCATGCAGAGAATCAGAACCATCGATTATTTGCTGGCTTCTTCCAGCCCTGTGCTTTCAATAAGCACACTGGGAATAATGGAGATCTGATTAAGCCACTCTGGGTGGGATGACAGACAATTATCTGACTCTGCCCTGATGAAAGCAAAAGAGACAAGTAGGGAAAAGTCACACATGATTTTAAAGGATGTCAACAGAAACAATATTAATTAAGAGCCTGGAAGTGGGGCAGGTTGGCCTCACTCTCTGAGAAATGTGCTTTGGGAGAAAAGACTGCAGGAGTAAAATGGCACAAAAGGGTGTTGATTTCTCTCACGGGATCCCACAAGCTCAATGTGCACATATCAGTGAGGTGCCAGGCAGACTCAGATGGGCACACTTCCCATGTATCGATTAACTTCACTTCCTTAAATGGGGTATATCTTTTGTATATCTTCACAGATAAAGAACAGGAGTATGAGAAAGTAAAATAAAATCTATGCTCCCTACTGCTTTGAGAAATAGGGTAGAAAATGAAGATTGTGCAGTAAATACTTCATCTTCAGTTTAGAGTAAGTAGGGTAAGGCTATGTCCCCCAAAGTCAACAGCATGTACTTACTCAGAAAGGCAAATCTGATTTTCACCTTCACATCTCTCTGCATTTTCTCGAGTTTGTATGGTTTTTATAATCATAAAGAAAAATCATTTTCATTTTAGAAAAATACTGTCTAATCAGAGGGAAGGAGGGCAGCCACAGAACCTGGCTGAAGTCCCTGAACTGAAGGGAGCATTCTACAAGATTGGAAAAGGGAGAGAGGTGGAGGGGTCCAGGCCAGGAGAGACCTGGCAAAGGTAGGGGGGAGGATAGGGAAATGACACTGCACACTGCCCACGGAGTCATGCAATCTGGGTTCAAATCTCAGCTGCACGTTGACTGCCTCTGTGACCTTAGCTAATCTGGACCCTCTCAGAGTCTCAGCTTCTGAAGCCCCCAACAGGATAACAAAACCCCTTCAGAAGGTTGTGAAGATTACATCATATTTCAAGTCTGAAAGCCTTGTAACTAAAAACGGATGTATCAGTGCTAGGGATTATTAGGCCTTCGGGCATAAAGGGGACAGGCAGAAGGAAGGAGTGGAACATTCCCAGAGCACCAGCCAACCCAGGCTGGTCCGTAGCCAGGCGCAGGTGACTCAGTCACTGGAAGGAAAGGCTGAGGTGCGGGACCAAGTCAAGCACTGAGCTGGGGCAGCTCTCTGCCACACAAAGGCCCTCCTGCACTCTTCCAGGAGCTCCCTCCAGTATGCCAGCTCCCAGGGCTGTGCGGAGCAGCACAGCAGGGCACAGCGGGGGTCACACCTTGAAAGTAGGCTAGCCCCGCACGTGGGGGGCTCTTCCATACGCAAGCCCCCGCTTCTTCTGCCCTATGTCCACCCCACCGCCCTTCTCGCTGGCAGCTGGAGGGCCGCGTTTCCAAGCTGTGCCCCGGAACCCAGCTTCCCGGCTGGAAAAGCAGGCGCGCCCCGAGGGGCCCTCCGTGCCCGGGGCCCCGCCGCCCGCCGCCCGCCGCCCGCCGCCCCGGCCCTCCCGGCCCCGCACCTGGTCTCCAGCGGGATGTTGCTGTTGAGCAGCCAGCTGTCCTGGGCGTGGGCCGGCTCCTGGGCGCCGCCGGCCGGGGGCTCTCCGGAGAGCGAGTGGTCCGTGGGGGCCGGGCTGGGGTTGCTCCTTGGAGTGAAGTTGCCCCGGTTCAGGGAGTTAATGGAGGCCGCGTGGTGCTGGTTGGGGGTGTGCGCGTGCGAGAGCGGCGGCGGCGGCGTCCGGAGCCGCGCGTGGTTCTGCAGGCCGCCCTGGTGATCTAGGGCACAGACACGCGCGTCAGGGTGGCCGCCTGCCGCCGGGGGCCCGGCCGCGCCGCGGAGGGGCCGTCCCCGGGGCACGGGCAGGTCGCACAGGTCAGTGCGCCCTGGGCCCTGTACTCCGCAGGTGCTCACTGGGCACCTACTGTTCTAGGCGCTGGAGATCCATCAGTGAACAAAACAGAACCCCTGTCTCCACTGATCTTAACTTCTAGTAAGGGAGAGGAGACCATAAACAAGATTTAAAAAAACACTAGGTTCCGATGTCACCAATGTCACACTGCCTCTCTGTGACTTTTGGGGCGGTGGATTTCAAAGCGTGGTCTGGGACCGCCAGCAGCCACAACATTGCCTGGTAATTTGTTAAAATTAAAAATTCTCGGGCCCTGCCCAGGACTTTAAAGACATCACTCCTTGGGTGGGGCCCAGCAATTGGATTGCGGAAACTCTCCAGGTGATTCTGGTAGATACTAAAATTTGAGAGCCACTAATTATATGTAATGATACATAGTAAGTGAAACAAGATACATAAAATTTAATAGAGTTTACTGAGATGGTGACAAATCTCAGAATACATAAAGCCAGCAAAGGGCCTATGGCCTATATACATGGGGGCAGTGGTGAAATTTTAGGTTAGATGGCCCCTCGTGGCCTCAGGGAGAAGGTGAGTTCTGAGTAAGGGGAGTGAGCCAAGTAAAATCCACCATTAACATTTACTGGGCACTGATGTTCCAGGCATAATTCTGAGCCCTCCACATGTTTATATTCAGCTATTCCTCACGACCCACTACAGAGCAGGTACTCTTGATCCCCATGTTTCCAGGTGAGGGAATTAAGATAAACATTTTTTATTTACTGCTTTCAGGTACTCAGAGCAATAGGTATTGTTATCACCGAATTTACAAATGAAAAAAACTTACAAAGCAAGTAGGTGAAGTGCCCAAGGCCACATAGCTAAGTGGGTGCTATTTACAAAGGAATAAAGTTTCTAGAGATGCCACAAATGAGGCGAGCTCTGGATGTAAATCTTACTACCATCGACCTAAGCTATGTGAACAGAAAGCCTAATCTTTGGGAACTGAGGATATTATGGGGGTGGAGAAGTCAGGAAACTGGATTCTAGTCTAGATTCTGCCACTTATTAACCACATGACCATTGTTATCGACCGCACGTTTGTGTGTCCCCCCTCCCCTATATTCATATGCTGAGGCCCTAACTTCCACAGCAATGGTATTCAAAGTGCTGTCAAAGTGCTGGCTTTGTAGTTAGGTTTAGATAAGGGACATGAGGGTGGAGGCCTCATAATGAGATTAGTGGTGCTGTTATGGGAAGAGACCAGAGGGTGTTCTCTCTTGCCCCCTCCCCTCACTTTCCCTCTCTTTTACTGTATCATGTGAAGATACAGAAAGAAGGCACTTGTCTGCAAACTAAGAAGAGGGCCCTTACCAGATCTACCAGCACTTTGATCTTGGACTTCCCAGCCTTTAGTACTGTGAGAAATTAATGTTAAGCCACCAGCCTATAGTATTCTATTATAGCACTCTGAGCTAAGACAAACTGGAACTGAGAGGTGGGGGTGCTGCTGTATCAATTACCTAAAAATGTGGAAATGGTTTGGAAACAGGTAATGGGTAGAATCTGAAAGAGTTTTGAGATACACACTAGAGAAAGCTTACATTGCCATGAAGGGACTGTATAAGGTGATGCTGGTGAGAGCTCAAAAGACAGGAGAGCTGTGCAGAAAGTTTGATCTTCTTAGAGAATATATAAATAATCACACAGAAGATGTTGGCAAAAAAGTGGATATTAAGGGCAGTTCTGGTGAGGTCTCAGCAATGAGGACCATGTTAGTAGACAATGGAAAAAAGGTACTTCTGGTTTTTAAAGTGGCAAATTACTTGGCTGAATTGTGTTCATATTCCAGTGTTTTGTGGAAGGTAGAAATTGTAAACAATAAAATTGGATATTTAGCTGAGGAGATTTCTAAGTCAAGTGTTGGAGAAGTGGTTTGGTTCCTACTGACTGCTGATAGCAAGATGTGAGAAGAGAGAAATGAAAGAAATTGAGTAGCAAAAAGAAGCCATAACGTGAAGATCTGAAAAATTAAGTCTGCCCATATGGCAAAAACTGAGAAAACATGTACAGAAGAGACCACCAAGGTTGAGGCTGGACCGTTTGGTAAGGAGTGGTCCATGGTAAGGTGTGGCCCGTGGGCCTAAACAGCCATCCCAGAAGGAACTCTGCCAGCCTGAACTGAAGGGGAACTGAGGATATTATGGGGGTGGAGAAGTCAGGAAACTGGATTCTAGTCTAGATTCTGCCACTTATTAACCACATGACCATTGTTATCGACCGCACGTTTGTGTGTCCCCCCTCCCCTATATTCATATGCTGAGGCCCTAACTTCCACAGCAATGGTATTCAAAGTGCTGTCAAAGTGCTGGCTTTGTAGTTAGGTTTAGATAAGGGACATGAGGGTGGAGGCCTCATAATGAGATTAGTGGTGCTGTTATGGGAAGAGACCAGAGGGTGTTCTCTCTTGCCCCCTCCCCTCACTTTCCCTCTCTTTTACTGTATCATGTGAAGATACAGAAAGAAGGCACTTGTCTGCAAACTAAGAAGAGGGCCCTTACCAGATCTACCAGCACTTTGATCTTGGACTTCCCAGCCTTTAGTACTGTGAGAAATTAATGTTAAGCCACCAGCCTATAGTATTCTATTATAGCACTCTGAGCTAAGACAAACTGGAACTGAGAGGTGGGGGTGCTGCTGTATCAATTACCTAAAAATGTGGAAATGGTTTGGAAACAGGTAATGGGTAGAATCTGAAAGAGTTTTGAGATACACACTAGAGAAAGCTTACATTGCCATGAAGGGACTGTATAAGGTGATGCTGGTGAGAGCTCAAAAGACAGGAGAGCTGTGCAGAAAGTTTGATCTTCTTAGAGAATATATAAATAATCACACAGAAGATGTTGGCAAAAAAGTGGATATTAAGGGCAGTTCTGGTGAGGTCTCAGCAATGAGGACCATGTTAGTAGACAATGGAAAAAAGGTACTTCTGGTTTTTAAAGTGGCAAATTACTTGGCTGAATTGTGTTCATATTCCAGTGTTTTGTGGAAGGTAGAAATTGTAAACAATAAAATTGGATATTTAGCTGAGGAGATTTCTAAGTCAAGTGTTGGAGAAGTGGTTTGGTTCCTACTGACTGCTGATAGCAAGATGTGAGAAGAGAGAAATGAAAGAAATTGAGTAGCAAAAAGAAGCCATAACGTGAAGATCTGCCCATATGGCAAAAACTGAGAAAACATGTACAGAAGAGACCACCAAGGTTGAGGCTGGACCGTTTGGTAAGGAGTGGTCCATGGTAAGGTGTGGCCCGTGGGCCTAAACAGCCATCCCAGAAGGAACTCTGCCAGCCTGAACTGAAGGGGATAGAGATGGAATGAAGGACAGCTGATCGACTTGTTAGATTCTACAGGACAGGATGATAAAGCCATTAGGCCATGAACTTGTGCTACTCTTCCAGAAAAGGGAAGACTAGCCCAAAGGTGACTCAGCGATCATCTGTGCCACTGCCTGGGGTTCACAAGCCTAAGACTAAGGTGACTATGGATGTGTCACCTAACCTCTTTGAGCCTCAATTTTCTCACTAAAAGTGGGAGAAGAGCTTATTAATGGAATTACAGAGCTACGGTCATATCAAAGAGGCAAGCAACGGGAAGGAACTATTTCTGGAGCCCACAGCTTATAAAGTATTTCAGTTCATTTGTTCCCCATGAGAGTCCTGTATTTCACAGAGGAGCCAGAGCCAGCAAGTCCAGGACCCAAACCAAGGTGGGTATGATATTCCAAACGCTGTGCTCTTCCTTGGCTCAGGAGCAGCTTTCTGGAAACCATCAAGCACAATTAAGTGTGAGGTACTGTCACTGTTATGGCTATTTTGAGGGAAGATGCATCACTCCCTGCTTTTTAGGTAACCCAATCCTTTATGCCAATGAGTTACAAAGCAGCTCTGGGAGGAGGAGAGGGGAGGGGAGGGGTGAAAGGAAAAAGAAGCAGAAACCATTTGAGTGATGACTTCCTTTTTAGAAATTGCTATCTCCAGGATAAATCCCACAGAGGGTGTACCAAGCCCTTTAGATCTTTATCCACACCTGTTTACCCAGCCTCATCTTTCATCAGCTACCTCCCTGTACCCTCTGCACCCTTCACTTTGGTCTCACCTCTTCCCCAGAAGCCAAGAGATCTGAGGAGGCATAGTGACTGAAACCTCAACTCCAACAAGAGAGTTCCCAGCTCTAGAATGTGAATGGTACCCTATGAAGATGTGCCATGCTGTGGTCCTGGACCACGGCATGCCCCTTGATGGGAGGGGAGAGGGCTTGTGAGCCAGTAGAACAGGCAGAGGGTCCCACTCAGATTGCAGACAGTTGTGGACCAGGGAGAAGACAAGGATATGCAGGGTCATTTGTTTTATCTGGTTAGCTTTAGGCAGCACTTTAATGGAGATATCTGGAGCCTGGGACAGAAACCAAAAGCAGAAGCAGCCTCCCAGGCTGGCTGAGGGTACCCCCACCCTTGGCCTTTTAGGTGCTGGCTGCAGGCCAGGGCACCAGAGCAGTGACAGGGACTGGACAGCTACTGTCCAGTGGCTATCAGCAGGGCAGCAGAGAAGGGTGACCTACTCCTGGCTCCTAGTTCTGCTCTAGGAGTCATCCTCCTCATGGCAATTTACCTGATGTTAGTAGTTGCTGTCATGTATTTGAGCACTTACATGTACTTGCACACCTTACCTTCTCTAATCCCCATGCAATCCCTAGATGGCAGTACTGCTGTCATTCCCATGTTACAGATGAGGAAGCTGAGCCTTACAAAACTAGTAAACCATTCTTACTAATCCAAAGCCTGAATTCTGTCTACCGAACCATGGTGCCTTTGCATATAATAGAGACATCTGCTCAACTGTCTTAGTCCATGGTCAAAGGCAGGAAAAG